GGGAAGTTGGAGCAATGACCCACTGTGATCCCTCCCAACCTTACCCATGTCATTCATTTTGTGAATACTAATCTGCCTTCAAAAAGGATTGAAAGTTAATCCATCCTTTTGGCAGTACTTTTAAATGCTGAACTTTTATGTGTTGCCACTGCCCTAAAATAAACCTTCACTATGGCTCTCCAGTCTTATCCAGAAATGGAAAGGGTAACAAGGAAAATAAAAAACAAAGGAAGATGACATTTTGTCCAATTCTGATCTGAATTTTCAAGGTTTACTCCATATGAATTTGTGGGGAAAACTTCCATAATAGAGTACAGGTAAAGTATCATCAAAGTTAAATACTGTGTGGAATTCTGGTGGCAATTTAGTAAGATATCTCATATCTTTATTGGAAAACATTTTAGAAGAATATTGTTACTTAGGCTGCATGAAAGCTACTGCCCTCCGTTACTGAGACCCAACCTTTTAAATCTGGAAAATGCGTGAGCCCACAGTTAAACTTCAACGTGAAACACAAATGATGAAACTAAGAAGAAATTATCTGGCTAACCTTAACTATGTCATGAGCTTATCCTTCCCCTTTCTTGACTGCTTCCTGGGGTTTTTTTGTTGTAATTATTTGGTTGTGGTTTTTTTAATTGCTGTCTTTCACTTCACTTTTAATTCCAGCCAATCTTCAGGAATCAGTAATATTCAAACAGTTGACCAATTTTGGAAGCATACATAATTTTCTCTGAAGAGCAAAAATCATCTAAAGAATTTAAACATTTGTATGTAACCCACCATCACGAGTAACTTAAGCTTTTACTACATAAAAAACAGCTTCAACAGCTATAGCTAGAGGCTTACTTGTACTAAGATTTCAGACATGCAATAGAATTTTAAAAACTAGCTGACTTCTTACTTAAATGTTTTCCTTATTTGGTTTGTTTATAAAACTTGCAGCAATTCATAAAAAATTACTTGTTATATAATATAATCTGCGTGCACACTTACCTACTGAAGTTGAACAAATGAAATCAATTCACATTAGGCGGTCAATTTTAGAGGTAAGCACCAATACAATTACACCAATTTCAATCCAATATAGTGGACTGGAAACTCCAGCTAATCCAACTCTATCCCTGACTGCATTTATTTGGAAGTATTTGCCCTTTATAAATTTTGATGTAGGATCTGTCCTAGGATCTCCCTATTGCCAACATACCTTTCTGTGTTTTCTACATGCTCAGGAAACAATATAGGAGTCTTTCTGTAGAGTCTGACCTAGTGCCAGAAGGTTGAGCAAACCATTGATGGAGGAAGTGTTCTTGCTTTTATTTAACTGCTGCAGTCACGTTATTATCGGGTAGTAAGGTTGTGTCTACACTCGGGGTTTTTTAAACCAGAAATTACTTTAGGGGTCTTTAGGTGTTTTTCTACACTCCACCATTTCTCCATGCCCTGAAATCATTCCCCCAGGAAAGTGACCTCCTCAGTAAGAAACTTGATCTTACAGGTATCAAATGACCTGAAAAGATCTTTCAGCAGTTTGGTCAGGATAACATTAATAACCCAGCCCACAGGAGAATATTATGTATCGAAGCCCATGTAAATTTGATGAATGTGGATTGCAAAGAAACTGACAAACCCCCAACATTGTTCACCAAACAGTAAATGAATGAATTCCAACTGATTATGTCTGCAGAACGATGAACTCTCAGGTGGGAAGACTCTTCAGGTTTTTCAAAAATTTGCAATTCTGTATTTAGCACAACAGAAATGCTGTCAGCATCTTCTCAGCCTAGAACTGAATCTACTCAAACATGTAAGAAATTTGTTCTACTACCCTCTTTTATCATATCTAAGTAAGCTATCACAGCAGCTACATTACCATAAAGTACCATTAAAATATATGAAGGAATCTATATGCCAATACATATACATGGTATAAAATGCACATATGGAACTGAAAACAACTACACATATTGCTTTGAAACATTCTAATGAACTTGAATTTGACACATACCTCACAGCTGTGCAAAAAGGATTTTGATTTAATGTAATCAGCATTTTTATTTGAAATGCAAGTCACCTTCTAAATACACGGCCTTAGTTGCTCTAAACTGATAAAGACTAATGGAATGCCGAGTCAGCACGTCAGCCAGTACAAGCTGTATGCTTCATGGCTAAGGCTGCTAAATAAGTAATGTCTTGTACAAGAATTTCCTTCATAACACTGCACATAGAATATACCCATTTCTAAAACCGAGTCTATGTTGTACGAATAACTATAGACCTCTAATTAAGAAAACTACATGATACTGAAAGAGTAAGCTTTAAATAAAGAAAAATCTTCAAGACCCTTCATATCTTTCACCCTCTCAGCACAGATCAGGAGAACATCCTGTTTTGGATGCGAATGGTATTTTTTTCTTTTAAACATTACTTGCCCTACATATGTCAGCAGAGTAGGCTTGGTAGTCTTCAAAAAAGATCAGAAAGTGTCACAATCTGTAGCATACTTTTGAGTAGGAATAATCAGAATACTTGCTCTAATGGAAAGTTACCACAGGCAAAAAAGAGAATTTTTGCTCTATCCCCACCTTATGGCTAGAAAAAGAATTTTTCTATTACAGTATACATATTTCTGGATTTATTTTTCTTTTACTGTATGACTATAACCAGAAAATACAAACTATTTTTATTATGAAACTTTAGATTCTTTTTCAGTAGTCACTCACTTCTCCACATAAAATCACAATGAAACTCCAAAGTGTGAATGTGTTCTCTAGCACCTGTGTTGATTTTCTGATTCAAAATAACAGATACAACTTTACATTCAAATAGAACAGTGATTATTGGGTCCTGACCCATCAAAGCATACCAGTTCATTTATTCATTGACACCATTAGGGATCAGGTCCATACATCTAACCTTCACTGACATACCATTCTTAATATTCACACTTTTTACAAGTTTTAAATATAATAATCACATGATTTATACCACTCAGAAAATGTTAAACTTACATGCTCCACAAAATCAAAGCACAGAATGCATGAATGCATGCGGTGAGTGTGAGCTGGAATAGGGCATATTCCCCACCAGAAGACACTCAGATGCAGATGCACTCTCACCAGTCACTCTATAAGTGAAGTAAAACCAGCAGCATCACCACTCTCTTCCATCACAGTCATCTGCTGATCAATAAACAATTTCCTTCTTCTTTTGCAGCTTAATCCATTATGATACTACCCTGGCCCAGGGTCTAACACTAGCCACATCAAAAGCTGAAAACCAAGATAAGGGCTACAAGAAGTACTTCTACCAAATTCTATTTCTTCATTACTGTACCCCTTTTCATTGATGGTCAGAGTGAAAGGGCAGGGTAGGATGTAAAACAGAACATGGTGAAAGCTGCAAAGCAGATAGAATAGAAAAAATGGATGTCTGATTGTGCTTCTAAATTTTTAGGACATCCGTCCTACCTTCTGAGGAAATGAGGAGTTTTAATTGTATTGACAGAGCACCTCTCTTTCCAAAAAGCTCTTCAAGCATATGCTTAAAACCAGAGGAAATTCAATATTGATCAATTGTTTCAGAACTGTAAATTTCGCAAGGTTTCATGAAAACAGCTGAGCATCACCATGACTCTTCCCTCAAAAATTCTTGCCTTTTTCCTCCTAATGGAAAAGGATCAACAATGGAATTCAAATAACACAACTTCATTAGATCTTCTACTACAGATCTAGTTTAAAAAAAAAGTTTATAGAGCTACCTGCTTTGATACTTTGCCATTAGACAGAGACACAACACGGGAATAAACTATCACTATAGCCTCCAAGTTTATATTAATTGTAAGTGTTCACGGGTACTTGGACAAGAGTGCTGTAAATTTTAATTTCAAAAATCCAGCAAGGAATACTGCATGGAGACCCTAGGTATATAGATGAAGGAGAACAGAAGAGCTGCCAAACAGAAATACAATTAACCTTATAGTGAACATTAAAGACAATACTAAGAAAAACACAATAGCATTTTATGTTTCTAAAAGCTTAAGCCCACTTCATCGGCCCCATTAATTTCAAGTAAGTATTTATTTGAAGTTTAGGAGAGAAACTTGAATATCTGTCAAGCTACCCAGGTCATCTTAACACCTGCCTGCTCCAGCTATTACAAAACATTCACAATGTACTATCAAAGTCCCTCTCCTATTAAAAAGAGGCAGCTTCTTACCCATGAATACACGCCAGACCCACTGTACAAAATATTTTTAAAGTACACTGGTGGTTGGTTTTAACCCTTCTTTGCCTCCCACACCCAGTGGTAGCTGACCAATTATCAATCTACTACATGAGAATGATAATATTCCACTAAGCTCAGAGTGGACCTTGCTCCTAGAAAAATCAAAAATGAAAAAGTTAAAGTGCATATCAAATCAAGTTCCAAAAGAAGCTATAGCACTCAAACAATTGTACAATGAGGAAGGTATGTGATTATATAAGACTCTAAGAAAATATTTCAGGGAAAATAAAAAAACATTTCTAAGGAAAATCAAGTGTTGCAATAAAATTGTTAAATCAAAGACAGTAATTACAAATAAAAATATAAATACCTAGTCAGATCTTCCTTATTCCTGAGAATGCACTTCAGATTATTAAATCCACATATCCTCTACATGTGTATGTTCTTGGCCTTCTTTGTAGATTCCAAGGGAGTAAAAGAAGAAAAAGCAGAATAAAGAATCTAGTCAACCCTTACAAGAAGCCAAATGCACTAAGCTCTGTGCATCAAGTAAAGCAGGAGAGTGATGCTTCCTTCCTCTCTGCATATTGGAAGAGGATGGCTTTTCAAAGGTTACACAGCATTTTAAAAAGAACATGGACATGATATGAAATTATAAGTACTGGCATTGCAACAGTTTCTTTAGACTACAAAAATTTCTAAAATGTAATTTTTTGCTGAGTTTCTAGAATATATTTGTTAAGGTGTCAAACAAAATTAGACTACTCAATACATAACATTTGAAAAGAGTCTTTATTTTAAGAACAGTTCACTGTGCATATTAAGGATCAGCTACCATATATTTCACAACACTGCATTATCAGCTCGAACAGTAACATTATCTATAACTTTATTGATATATTTATTAAGCGAAGTGTTCAGTAAACTATTACAAATATCAGAATAGGAACAGAGTATAACCTTAATTTAAGATGACATTTTTATATAATGTATATTTCCAGACTTTTGACAAGTTAGCATGACACACAAAAGAGAAAAGGAAATAGCCTGGCACTCATGCCAACTTATCTTTGTTATTTTTACAAGATCTAACTTTGAAAACATCAGCTCTGCCAGATCTTTCCTTTTCCATAACCTGTGTATCTGTCCACACCAACTCAATTACAGACCACCAAGTTGCCTCATGTACCACATCAAACAGGTCAGCTTAACAGTTCAAACCATGATTTAAAATACCAACTATGTATTCTTTCCCCAGAACACACAAGTTTCAACCTGCTTTTCAAAGTAATTTTAAAAATTATCAAGACATTTATAAATAAACTGAAGACATGGTATTTAATACACTTGTTTGTACAGTGATGGTTTTGAAAGCCATAATTTTGTTTAGCTAGTAAATCAGCTCTGAACTGCACAATCTACACTAGATTTAGTGAAACCTAAATTTAGTGTTATGTAATTTTTTAAGAACTGTTCCCCTTAAGAAGTTTCACACTTTTAATAATAAATGCCATATTGTACCCAAAGGCTATCTATGGTACAAGCATTACTCCATCATTATGAAATTAAGTACTTCAAAAGTCTTCAGTGAAAAGTGACATACATAAATTAAATTATGCATTAAGTGTATGAAAACATACATTCTAAGATCTTTTTTAAATTTCTTTTTAAAGAAACAGCAAGATAGTCAGGAGATAGATGTCAACAAACTACACAGTTCCACAAATGCTGAAGCTGGATCACAGTATAACTCAAGTTAGTCAGAAAAAATTGAAAAATGTGTTTTAAAATTCCAGTGGTTTGTTTTCTAGCCTCTGCTTTTCTTTAAAATAACCTGCAAAGAAAAGAAAAAAGTATATTTATCAATACAATTCAGGCAGAAGACAGAGACCAAAAGGTTCATCTAGCTAATCTGTTTCCAAGAGCTATGTTGCAAAGGGTAATACCCAAAGGAAAACATTAGAAATAAAGCAAAAGTACACAGAAAGATTTCAAATTCCAGTTTTTTTTTTTAAAGAAAGAACATTCATAAGCAAGAATTCTGTAAAATAAAAGGCTTATTTTGAAAATTAAAGGTGAGAAATGGCAACAGTACTCTTGAGCCATCAGTAGATTCCTTAAAGTTCTTACTCTGTTAGGCCTAGACCAAAAGAAAAAAAAAGGTTTGTAATAACACAGTTCTTATGCTCAATTTTTGTTTGCAGTGCCTCACTTCCTTCTGTATTAAGAGCACACAGACCTTTGGAAGGACATTTTTTGGTTTGGAGTTTAAATTGAAAAATGAACTTCAAAGCTCAAGTGGGACTATTTAAGTGTTAAAATTATTAAAATACACGCAGTTTTTCCTTTCTTCCCACCTTAAAAAAATAAATGGAGCACAAAAATGTTCAAAAAGTGTTAAGATTGCAGTTAAAAAGAAACCATAAATGTCTAAGACTCCAACTGCAACATTCACTTGGCTACCTTACATATCCTGTATATGTTTCTGTCACTATAGTAATAGAAAAGTATAAAACTAAACCTTTCAGCAGAAGGGAAAAAAATAGTGAAGATAAACAGAAGCCACAGGACCAAAATATCAGGTAACATGAAGTTTTGTCCTCCCAATTTGCTCAGCAGGAGAAGGAGGTTAAAGAGATAAAGAGACTGAATTCCTTCATGACAACAAAGTAAAGCAGACATATCCGACGGAGTGAAATGAGCTACAGAATAAAAAAAGGATTTCAGTCATATTTTGACAATAATTCTTTCTAGGAGACAAAGCTGCATAACACCTTCCCTTTTCCCTTCTTTTGCATGTAAACAAAACTCACCATACTCTGCAATGCAGCGAATTCCTTCTTCACAGATATTCATTCATACAGCAATTTTTGTTATGCTGAACTACCCATATAACAATCCACAGTCTAATTCTCCTTACCAAATACATCAGACATCACACAAAGTGTCTGTTTGTTCTTGTATCCACACAACGCTGCCAGAACCCACTATGAACTTACTTCAGACTAAGCAGGTAAGAACTGAAGCGCTAAGAAAGGTATTTGAACCTCTCTGAACTATTTCTCACCTGCTCCATAAAGCTTCACTTATATCACTGAAGTTAAGATAGCATGCTTCCTTGTAGTATGTATGTAGTATCAGCTGAAATAAGGATCCTCCAACTATGGACTGCCTTTCAGGCCACAAAGGCCTGCTGGTAGAGCATTTTGCAGACTTACTCATATATTGAAATTATGACTTTAAACAGGGAATAATCAAGAAAAAACGGGTTATATTTAATAGCACAAGGAGAGTTAATTTGTTTTCTTGGTGACAGTAAATTATGCCAATGATGGACAAAGAATATTAAGTGTCTATAGGTTTTGGATTATAAATCAAATATCAACTTTAACAGAGAAAGCTTTTGTATATGCTGTCATAATATATTATACAAAAATGAAAAATATTAGAAGTGTGTTAATACCTTTGCTGCAGATATGGTGTGCTCAGGTTTTATTATTTTACTTTTGTTCTCAAAAGCATTTGTCCTGGCTTCTTCTGCTAGCCGATGGAGAAACAATAAGAAACTCAAATGAACCTTTAAAATAGAGAAGAAAAAAAAATAATTCAAGTTGTTTAAACACAGTTTGCTTTTTTAAAGATTCATTGTTTGCAATAGAAAATTTGCATATTATACTGCTTCCAAATTCCTGAAAGGTGTTCTCAGAAAAAAAAATTATCACTCAGTACAAGCCTCAGTAAATTTCCAAGACATTCCCTTCATGCAAGACTCTTGTAAACAGAGTTTAAATTTAGTATACTTAAATAATAAAAGTGCTTCAGAAATGATCATGCAAACCACAACTGATCTAAGAGGAATCCATCTGATTTTTATTAGCAGTTTTTAATAATAAAAGGTAAACACAAATATCACATAATAAGGAGACTTTCTGCTTACTAGTAAATATAGTTAGTTTTCAGTGACTACAACGGCCAGACTTTTATGAACAGCAAATTCATTCCTGCCTTATCACCAAATGGACTACGGACAAGTTCAAGGACTTCTGCCCCTTTCCAGTGTAAAGCGACATTGACGTTAATTTCTCCAGAACTTGGAATTCTCCAGTGTCAGGAGGTTGCATCCATTTTTTCCCCAGCTCATCACTTAGCTTTTTTACATTAAAAGAACGTGTTGGCAATGTTCCTTTCCATATGGAATGCTGTTTTGCTAATACAAAAGCAGGAAAAATTGCAGCAGGCAAGGAAGGAACTGCTGTAGCCTGGACTTAAACTGCCAGCCAAGAGCACACTTGTGTAGTAATTAATCAGGGGCCTATAAGACAAACCCCTAGCATTATACAGGCACTGTGTGAATTATTTAAATAACCCAACCTGAAAAATTGATAATTGCACCTTTTGTAAATTAAGCTTTCAAACAACATTACCTCTGCTACATAAAGTGTAGAAATAGACTTTTGCAATCAAGAGCTAGAAAAAATATTACTGAAGTAGATGAAAGTTTTCTTTATATGAATAAGGTGATGCATTTATTCCGCTGTACCTTATCTGTAAACCTGGAACAATGTAATATGGAAAGTTACAAATTAAGGGTTTAAGAAAAATATTTTGGCAGTGGGTTTGCAGCACAAAGAATCTGTTACATGTTCCTGTCACAAGAACTCGGTTCCTATGACAAGCAGTTTAGGTAGTTTTTTAAAATATCCTGAACTAAATGAAGCAATAGATAAATTTACATAATATTTGACATCATTTGGAAGCATCTACTACACAAAAAGCAGATGTGCTTGCAGATTTATTTCACAAAACATAAAAGCTGTTTTACAATCGGTCTTTAAATATTCACACAGAAATTATTTCCAGCAGAATCAAGCAGTGGCACTAAAATAATGTTCAACATTAGAATTCTCATTATTAAACTTATCAACACGGAGATTAGATTTCAGGAAACAACCTGAAGGAGAAGTGAAAGATGGAACAAAAGCTTCCATACTTGCATGCCCTTCTGAGATATCTAAAGGCAAAAGTATTAATTTTAAAATTGCCTTTTAAAACTGCATCTTCTCTCAGAATCACTGTACCTTTATTTTCCTATTCTCAAAGTGAATTGCTGCATGTGGAGAAGCTTCCTCTGTACTCCAATAGCTTTAAACAGTCACATAACTAAAATCGGAGCATTCCACAACAGAGCACACAGGTTAATAAATATTCCAGGTTATTCAAGGCAGTTGAGAAGGGTTAGTGAAAGGCAGAATGACTAGGACACTTACTGGCAACTAAGCAATACCATATTTGTTTAAGGACATTGCTTTACTGCATATTAAATTTTTGTCCTTCTGCATAAAATTTAAAGACTGTTTTGAACTAACTAGTCATGAAAATCACCTTACAAAACTGAATGTTTATTTTCCAGAAAAGAAAAAATGCAAAATTTTAAGAACATACGTAAAAAATTCACAGCACTGTTTACACAGCAACTTCCACACACCTGTTCGACAGAACTGAGGAATAGCAGGGACAACCACTGTAATTTTGTTTTACTGCTGTAACTTCAAAACAATTCTTAAGATTGATATTTCAGCTTCAATGCACAATTATTAATTATTCTATGGTGATAAGAAATTTTAAAAAGGCCATTCAGCGCAATATCTCATGCTTTTCCTGCAATGGAAACACACATGTGCTGTTCTAGCACAAAATAAGCAGCTAAGATCCTGCTTTTCTTCTGTAATTGCAATATATTTTCTTCTCTGACCATCAGGAAATATCTGAACTTCAGTACTAAAATCATTACCTCTTATTTTCAAAAAGAGCCTTGAAAAAAACCTAAACCACTATTTGCATCTCTTCACCCGGAGATATTATCATACTCCTTAAAAAAAAACCAAAACAAAACAAAACATCTTCCTGGGAAAGTTTAATGAAATTTGATAGCTACACTGTGCAAAGAGATAGATGTGAACACTTAGGAAACAGGTTCTGACAAAGCTTCAGATTTTGTGAAGAGACTTGATCAGAAGTGAAGAAGAAACCTCATCCAAGTATTCAACAAAAATTATCTGAATTCTTATGCCTTTCAAACTTGTTACGATCATGTAAGAAGACATTGGTTTACAGAGTAAATAATCACTGAAAGTTGGGAAAAAAAGAAAGTCTTATTTTCTCTTAAGGCAGGCAGACCCCTTTACTGAAATGGGCATATACTGCAATAGATTCAGACATAAAGCATGGATCATTCTGGAAGATAGCCCAGAAACTGAACTAGCACGTTTCTCATACTTCCCTTGAGAAGAAATAAGCTCTCTGCTCAAAAGATATACAGCTCCACCTTGTTAAGACAACTACTATATAAATTTCTGATATATGCAATCTAATCACTCTTACAGGGTTTGCAGAGAATAACACAGGCACCAGAAAACCCACTCTCAAAATTTGTCACTTGTCTTACTACACAATAAACTCACCAATCCTTTTTTTGTTTTTCCTAAAAGAGGCATAATTTCAGCTGTGTTGATTATTTAGCCATGGAAATAAAGATCTAAAGAGCTGTCAGACACAAGCCTAGTTGAAGAACATCATGGACAACCACCACACCTGGACATTCTTGTTTAAAGGTAAAATAAAAAAGCCAAGCCTTGTAACATAAAAGGCTGCGTAATTTGACATCACCAGAAGAGATAATCTAAGTTTACATTACATTATTAAAATTTATTCTGATCTCATCCTTTGTGCTGCAATGAACATTTTCACAGCCATATTTTAAGCTGGATCTGTTTGCTGTTGTTTATAAGTTTCAGTGCATTCAATTCACTGACTGTCTTTGCAGCTCAGAGAACTTTAGTGCCAGGACCAGGAAGAGATGGGAATCAAAGGCCAAGATTTGGAGGGATGTCCCACTTCCCCCTTTTCAGACAGCCACACTACTTTGAAACCAAATTTTCATTACTGTGGAAACAAAGACCAACTGTTACCAAGGATTAAATTTAAAAGTGTGATTGTGTGTATTCAATTAGTTGACCTACTGCATTCCACAGAGTAAGCTTTGAGTAGGTCTGAGCATGAGTAGCAAGGGGCCAGGTCCTTAGTCCATAAAAAATCTAAATGCAGCAAAAACATCAGGAAGAGATCATATTTTTATTAGCTTCACTCCATTAGAAAAATATTTAATGTTTGCATTCAAATCTAAATACTCTGAAGTAATGGCCATTTTCATTCACTTTAATCTCATATTACTTATTTTAATTTTGTATGTTTACATTTAGCTTCATATATCCGGACAGCAACCTTCAAGATGCTGCAAGACACAACTTTTATACACACGTGAAACGTTGACTTACCATTTAAGTCAGAGCCCATACATAGTATACAGCATACTAGTGCTAATGCTTTTAATGCTCTGAGAGCCACATGCATTTGTAAACAAGAGGATATCACAGTCCAGCAAGTTAAGTCGACTAAGTTCTTTCCAAGAGTATCTTTTCTATGCATTTTTTTTATACGGCAACTACCACAAGCTCTCTTGAGGTCAGATTTCCTTCCTGTAGACAAATAATTTCTTGGTGAGATAAACCCTACCTGTGCCGCAAACTCCTTAGAGCAGGTCAGACACAATTCAGCTTTATTGGCCTGTTTTTGCAAACTTGGCTCTTTTATCCCCCCTTTTTTGGCAGGCGTTTTTAAGCCGTGATCAGAACCCCAGCCTTACTGGGTTCCTAACAAGACTTGTCATCTCACAGTTTAGGGCAGAGTCTACCTAGATGGCCTGCTAAAAACATATCAGCACTCAAGAGCAGCTTAGCAGCTCATTGATCACAGCTCAGCTGAATACCTGTACACCGAACTGATCAACACAAATACCTGCATCTAGCAGCCAGATAACCCAAATTGCTATTTCTCGCTGTGTCTACAACAAACTCTATGAACATCAGTGTGTACATGGAGTGACACAAAAGCCATACACGAGCCCGTCCCTTGAATCGCTGGGAACAAGATCGCTGTAAAGAGCTACAATACAGCAGCCACCAGCAAAGCGGGAGCGGCAATCTCTGCTCACCCGTATTTTCTCTCAGACCTCTGTCTGTCCCTCCAAGCTTTGCCTCCCCTTGCCCGCGGGTCCCAGCGGAAGCACCATTGATAGTAACTGGGTATCCCGTCACACACAGGGCGCACAGGCCGCAACATTTAGGGAATAAGCGTCCCAGTTTAGGGCCGGCTGCCCCCGCCGCAGCTGCGGCTGCAGCCATGGCCAAAGGCAGGAGCTCTCCCGGGCTCCCCGGGGCAGCCTCGCCTCGCCTCTCCCCCGCCCCTCTCCTTCCTCACCAGCAGGTCGGCGTTCGCCGCCAGGCGTAACTGCGGCTTGTGCTTCTTTATAATTTTCCGCAAAGTGCTGCGGGGCGCCGTGCGCTTCATCTTCCTCCTCCCGCTTTCCTTCCTCCTCCTCCCGCCGCCCTCGCTCCCTCCGCCGTTCGAATCCGCCGCCCTCGCGCAACCCCGCGCGCCCGCCGTGACGCAACTTCCCAACAGCCGCGCGCGGCACCGGCACCGCCCCCGCGCCAGCGCCCCGCCCCTGCCGCTCCCGGCCCCGGAGCTTCCCCGGGGCCCGCGCGCCGAGGAGTCCCAGCCGCGCTTCCCGAGCGGCCCAGAGGCTGCGGGGAGAGCGCCCCGCCGGCCCCACCGGCCCCGCCGAGCCCGGCCCCGCCGCCCAGGTGGCGCACGAGCGGGGAAGGGCGCTCCCCGAGCAGGTGCTCGAGGGACGGTCGGGTCCCGGTGGCCACCCCCGCGGCCGCTCCCCTCCGTGTGGGTCCGCTTCCCTCGTGAGCGAGCCGAGGGCTGGCTGTAGGCCTGGCTGTAACCAGTTACCCACACCTCCACCCGGGCGTGTTTAGTGACAAGGACGGGAAAGGGCGCGGGCAGTTCCCGAGTGCCGTTGCCGAGCCCTCGAGCGTCGCTGCAGCATGGGGGAATTTCCCGAAGCGCCGGGAACGCGGCACGGGGCAGGGGGAAGCACCGGCACGGCGCTGCCTCGGCAAGCCTCGGCGCGGGGCTTTAAGTTGGCCATCGTGGCCCAGTGTGCTGGTGTTTCCTTGCCGCAGAAGGGAGATGTGCAGCCCGCTTTTGCCCCACTTAGACTGTGTGACCTCGCTGGGAGATGGAGCAAGACTGCAGGACCGGGGCCCTAATTAACACCATTATCTTACGCGGAAATGCGTCTAGAATGATAGTTGTGTTCTGCACGTAAATCTGGACAAAATCCTGCTTTAGTATGGCATTGACTTATTTGTACACAGAAACACACAGTGGTTCTGAAGTCGTGACACTTTTACGTGTCATCCTTCCTCCAGCATCTGTCCCTGCACTCCTGCTGTAGCTGACGGATGCTGCTGACTGAAATACGGGTTTCCCCACAGAGGGGCCCCTGTAGCTTGGCATTCTCAGTGTATTTGGACGGTGTGTACTTAGTTGGAGAAGGGGTCAGGATTTCATACTGAGGTATGGGGTTTTTCAGCATATTTATTAGGGTTTTTTGTTTTCTTTGGCCTATGGGATGCTTGCAAATTTAAATGTTGATAAGATAAATATATCAGCTTAATATGTTCAAAATACCAGCACCCAGATATGAATCAGTTTTGTTGAAGTATGTTCTTAAGCCTGTATGATTTAGTATTTTAGTTAATTCTACAATATGCGCAAAATGTAGTCCAGATAGAAAGAAATATGATATCTGACAGCAGGAGAGAATTAAGATTTGCCGGTTCTTCATACTGCGTCACATATTTGAAAATGATGCTTTCTTCTTTCAGTTTTGACTGTCACTTGCCATTAATCGTCAACAGCAATGTTGATCTTGCAGTCAGGGTCTTAACTTTTTTTCTGTGAAAGAATAAGCACACTAACACGCAGGACTTTTCTGTGCAGTACAGTTTAATAATAGTCCCAGTTAATGGCTCAGCAGCAGTGCTACAAGTAAACATTTGGGGTTTTTTCGGTTAACTGAATGGCTCTGACTCAGGAGCTAGATAGGGTCATATACTGTAATGCTGATAATATACACACAGAAACTTGCATCAGCAATAACTCAGCATGTCAACAGATGCAAATCTACAGCTGGGATAGATCAGGAGTTCCACTGGACCTTACGTGGGCTGGGAGCTGGGCCTTAGTATCTCACTGTTGGTGGGAAACTGGTGTGGGCAAACATTTTACAAACTGTAAGAGTTGCAAAGGTGCCTCTACTGTAAGTCTAAAACTATTAAAACACACCACACAAATTTGAAACTGTGCAGTGACCTGCATAAAACAACAGATACTGAGACCCAAGACTAGTAACTGTATCTTTTAGTCATGTGCTTGCTATGTAGAGAATGACTGAATAATGAAATGTACTATTAAGTGTAATACTGTTAGAGTTTTGGTTCTGATGGTTTTATATTTCTAGTGGACTAGGGGGGGTTTTGGTTTTGTTTTTAGCCACAGAAAATAGTAATTTAAAGTGCTGGCTCAAATCTACATATTTACCAGATTTCCTAACTTCTTAGGCATTAAAAAATTTAAATGGTTACTTCAAGCAATTGATAACAGAAGTCAAATGTACATGTAGTAAATTAAATGTATGTAAATTATAGGTTATGATTTACTGAACAAACATGAAATTCCGTATTTCAGATTTCTCCTTCAATTTACATTTTAGGCTTTTTATGAATAAATATTTCTGTAAATATGATTTTAGTAGCTTAATTTTAATACTCAAATATTGTAGAAAAATAAAAAAAATTGTAGCTCTGTACATTATACATTTCAATGGACAAGAATAATTTTATAAATTAAATAAATTATTTTTAAAATCACATCTGTTTCAATTTTTTGGTCTGTATTAACCATAGGGATTAATGATTAGATTACAGTGATTTAGAAAACTGCAGTCTCGGTATATGTCTGATTTTGAACATGACTGTTTTCTGTTTCTAATAGAATCCATAATGTTCAGTTATAATATTATGAAATATTTAAATAAGCAAAAGAATAATGAAAAATGTATTTTAAATTAATTATTGGAAAGTATTATTGAAATTGCTAATTTTTTCATGCTCATGCAGCTTTATAAAAAAGGCAATTCCATGCCTTACAGGCAGATTTTCATATTTTATCTGTTCAAAATCTGCAGGAGTTTATAATCCATTTTCTACAAGCAGTTGCCTTGTTTTCAAATAATGTTTCAAGAATGTCATATTTTTCCACTTTTTAGCAATTGCAGTTTTTAAACACATTAGTTCATTTTGTGAACTTCAGCTGCAGCACAACATCTTCCGAGGTTTCCAGCAATGCTGAGCTGTGTCTTGGAACTAAAGGCATCATCTGGGACCGATGATTAAAACAAGGACACTTCAGCAATTAAAATAGTACCATCCAGGTCTGACTTCTTCAGGAAAACAGTCTTTACATTTTCCTTTTTATTTGTTTTTTTGGTTTTTTTGGTTTTTTTGGTTTTTTGTTTTGTTTTTTTTTTTTTTTTAACACAGGCAATTTCAGTGACGTTATTTTGTCACTTTTGTTTCCAGATCGTGTGGGTTCTGTGAAAACACATTTCCATACATTTCAGTGGCTAAAAAGAGGCCAAGTTTGGGGCCATCACTGCTGAACCTCAAACCAGTAAACATTTAGCTCTCTCTTTCTGTGAGAAAAGAGGTGAATTTAAAGACTAATTTTATCCACTTCTGTGGTGCACTGTAAGTTGAAATAAGGGTAATATTTGGAAATGAAATTAAAAAGCCGTGTTTCCTTTCTATGCTGAGACTTTTGTAAGCACATCCTAACTTGTTAAATTTGTTCTCCCTGTCTGTACTTCATAACTATTCATTTAACTGTTTTGTTTCTGGATTTTGACATTATCTTCAGTCAAATTCTTCATCAGCTCTTCATCAAATCATAATTTTAAACTCAATCTTCTCTCCAAAAATGCTGAATTTTACAATATTCATTTACAATATTCATATTACAATATTCCATTTAAAGAGTGTTATATGTTGAAATTAATAATCACATTTTATAAATTCTTACTAAGCCAGAGGTCTGTCGGTTTCTTCTCTAGTCAGGTAGAGACTGTTAAATACTTTCTAGTGATAATCCAGTTTCAGTGGTTGATTAAAGACTTTGAAACATATCCTGGATATGGATGTCAAAGCCTAAAATCTTTTGATGTTTTGTTCGGTGATGAAAAGATATCTCTAAAACAGAACATAACAATTCAGCAAATGTAAACTCTCCTATAGTGTAGTTGATAGGCTTGATCATAGTGATTGGGGTATACAGACTGACTCTCCTGTTACATTTGTATATTATTTCTGTTGGATAATTCAGGTGGGGTCGAATACTTTCGTAGAGAAACAGGAAAAGAGATAATACAAAGGAGCAAATTGTGTTTCCTTCTCCTCTGTGGAACTTCAGAAAACATCTTTCTTGAAAAAGAAGGGGGAAATGGCAATTTTAACAGGAAACTTTTGCCTTGTGACTGTCACTATTTATATAATGACAATAATTTAATTGCAGTAATAAATACTAGTCAAAACTTTGTTTGGTATTCACCTTTAATTTTCATGAAGAAAGGACAAAATTCTCTAGAATCAATTATTTTCATTACTTCCAGGTTTTTTAAATTTAGTTCTGTTTCTATCTGTGTTTCAGGCCCAGAACACTAAAAAACAGGAAGGGCAAAACATCGTAAATTATAGTTGAAATTGTGACTATTTGCTGATTTTAAGGTTTACCATTTAAGCTTCAGTTTCATTTTTCAGGACATTCTGTGTATCAGCCCTCTCTGTATCAGGCTCTGAGAACCTGCCTGAAGTCAGTTGACTTCCACAGGCCAGACACCATCTGTCTGTTGTGACTGCTTTGATTGCATTCATAACATGGATGTCATTCATACTGAAGCGTACAAATCACAGCTCAGCAGTCACTCTTACCTTCAGAGATATTCCTTGGGTACTTCTCGTGCCATCAGCTAAAAGTGTATCAGTTTCAGTGCTTTTGAAGTAATTTGATGCAGGATCACATTGATATTACTGTCCATTACTTTATTAAATTATGTAGGAGGAAAATGTTTATTTTAGGTGTTTTCAATGAAAACCACAAAGATTAATAAATTACACCAAAAAACCCCGAAACCTTCAAATACCCACTTCATCTGTGTTCATGTAACTTTTCTAATTATTTTTTTAGATTTGCACTTTATTTGTGTTTTGCTCTCAGATATAATACACCCATTTAATGCCAGTCTTATTTCCTCCCTGAAATTCCAGAAGGAACAGTGTGTTATTATTCTCTTCAGATTTCATGCTTGCAACAACTACATATAAATCAGAATGATCTTCCAGCACCTGTGCTGTGATCAGCTAATCCAGACCTGCCAAAAAGACCCCCTTCTATCAGAAACTTTTGCAAACCTAGACAGTATTCTGAAAAATGCCTGTTCTCTGCCTTAAGAGTACAT